ACGGGCAATCTGCCAGGCCCGTTCAAGCTGCTCAAACATTTACCTGCAGAGAGCGTGGGCTCGTATCTCCTGGTAGTAAGATTCTACTTGGAGTCTGCCTCCTCAACTTCGCACTGGCCTCCATGTTTCTTGTGAGTCTGTGACCATCTGTGCAGCAGTGGGGATGGATTTACTCACCGTGCTGACCTGTCTACCTGGATTCAACGATCCTCGTAAGCCGATGGCGGTGGGCACCGACACCATCGGTGCGGCTGGCTACCTCAACCGACTATATTATATCGCATCTTGGATTCAGGAGGTGGGACTACTGGTATTGGTTCTCATAAGCGATGCGATTGTAATTTGGAGAGCATGGGTTCTGTGGCCAACGCAGTCAGCTGTAAAAGGTTTGCTTTCCCTCCTGCTGTTGGCTTCACTAGGTTAGGATGTCCCATATCACACATTGGAAACGATGGACAATAACTTGTCATTAGGTGTCGCAGCCAGGAACTCATCATGGATGTCCCCATTGCTCCCGTGCTGGGAATAGCCGTTCTATACACATTCTTGCCTCTGTCAGCCGCTGCAAATGGCGTGGCAACACTGTTAATTGCCATCAAGTTCTGGTGACCATTGCGCGCTTAGCTGCTAGTACACACGACGGCCGATATGAACTCGGATTCCATGAATAGGCTTCATCACCAAGTCATCGAGTCCTCACGGCGGAGGAGCCAGTCTGCAGTAGAAAATGTTTTAATTTTCTGATTGAGTCCGGCGTCGTCTACTGGACGATTCAAGTAGGTCTACATAAAGGCTTAGAAACTTCATGCCAACTAACACCTCATAGGTAGCCAATGTCGTCTTGATATATAAAGGACAACTGGGTTTAACCCTTCCTGGTATAACCGTCAAAAAGGTTATGAGCGATTTATACTATGAAGTAACAGTAAGGCTAAGGCAATGTTTCGTTGAGTCCGACTAATACACGCATTTGCAGACAATCTATCCATTACTGGTCATACTACTTGTGAGTCACAACCGCTCTGTCATCGAAACATTTGGCTTTCCAACGGCAAAAAACCACGAAGTCATCGAGATCTCTTTGGAGCGGGAGGCAATCGGGGGGGACTCTACACCTCTATCGTCCAGTAGTGCTGTATAGCACAACATAAATAAGTACCAAGTGTCGGCATCTTCGAAGGTCTTCTAGTTCAAAATGGAGGTTATGACCATTTGAACCACGGAAAAGCGCGTTGAAGATTGAAGAGAGCAAATTCAATAACAAGAAACATTTTTTGAAAGCTCTAAACGACGACATGTGAAGGAAATATTCGTACGTGTGTCAATCGAATGTACAGCCAAAGGAGGGGTTGCCCCTCTATATCGCCACAGTCGCAAATTGTAGAGTAGTGGAAAGACCAGTTCGTGATGCATGATGGGCTGATGATATGCTTGAGGCAGGTGAATGGCGGGAATCCAGTGAGCCACCACTTCGCTATGGTTGCAATACTTGAAGCGTGGGCAATATTGTCAGTGGTCGATAGAACGGAGCCTTCCTGTGCCAAGGCAGTGTGGATGCATCTAAATCTCAATGAAGTCAATAAAAGATAGGAAGCTGCACGATATGAACCCTCACCTGACAGTCTATGGCCAAACCACTGGTCTGATCTCTATCCCCATATCCTTTAGCACACTCATCCCTTTCTCCTTCCAATGCTTCCTAGCCTCCTTGTTTGTCCATCAAGAATCCGTGCCGTCCACCTTTTCCAAGGTCTTCCCAAGGCTGAGTCCCCTCTGCCGTATCCAATAAGCCACATTATCCTGGCTCCTCACCGCTTTCAAGCGACACACAACAAGGTATCGTCGTACGTTTCTCCATCCTTTTGGGTCTGCTTAAACACCGTCAGGTCACGCTTGCGAGCGTTGATAACGTATTATGGGACGGGTAGGTGGTTGTATGGCTGCTGCTTCGCTTTGTCGTAGTTGTGGTCCAGGAGAAGCGTTGTATACATCGAGTGAGAGTGTATCTCCTTCATCTTCAGCTCCTGCCAAACAGACGTGAGATTCTTGGTGGTTTCGGCGGGCTGGTCTGCATCACCACCTGTCAGTGCCAAATTACTGAGTTTCGAAGCGTACAAAAATACATACCATCCTGGTTCTTCGTCGAGTCCATCCGATGTTTCGCCCACACCCCCAGCAGCTCGGGCTAAACTTCTTAAAGTACCTTTGCGCCATCTTGGTTATATGGAGCTTCCTCGTCGAGCTCCAGACCATTACATCGAGCCATTCCTTGGTCTCACCACGGAACAAACAATTCCAGAGCGTCTCTATATACGGGCGTGGCCGTACGAAATGCCTATTTTCGTGCTTGCCTAGTGGAGACCTTAGTAGAAGAGCACCGTCGAGGTCGAACACGATGAGCTTGCGCGATGTGTTGATTTTTTTGTCGGCTGGAGGAGAGTCGCGGCCAGATATTCTGAAGAACGCGAGCTCGTTGTAGAGAATCTAGAGCGAGACTAGAAAAGTGTGCATCTTGATATATATCTGTGTCGAACGTATACGCAATCAAAAACAAGTGCCAGAATAGCGTGGGATATTTGTTTAAGAATGCCGTTACGGTTGCCATCGTCACCGCCGTTGGGAGTGGGGAACGCCCTTCCGTTCTCAAGCTTACCCACATCGAAGCCGGGTCAGCCGGAATATCTTGATTCAATTGTCGTACGTCCTTTCCTTGATTTCTTTTCTTTTCTTTGCTTACTTTCGTTCTTTATCTTTGAACCCGTTGTCCTCTGACCATCCTTTCATTCAGGCTTTTGCACAAGAACAAACGCACAGCTCGTTATAAACCGACTTGAAGTGCTTCGAACGATCAGGAAAGCCTTACGGACGCCCACAGGAGAACCCAAAACTTGAAAACGAAGAGAGACAGAGATTGGATCTGTGATTTGATATCGTACAGACTGATGGCTACTGTATACACTGAACCACCAGGTGCGTAATCCTCTACAAATCCCAGTAATTATGCTGATCACTGCTAAAACTATAGTGCATATGCCGACATCGCCTGTGTACGCAGATTCACAGGGCAAGTATTTGATCTCTTATTGTTCTACCCCAGTCGTGTGTGCTTATTGTTCTTTCGATTTTGTATAGGTCCCACAACGACTGCCACATACACCGAATCACTAGGTGAGCTGCTTTTAGTATCCCTGTTACTTCGAGCTATGCTAACTTGAAGGGAAAGTACATCCAGAGCGTCGCCCGCTCTCGATCTGTCTCGACGTTCCACCGTCGTCGTCGCCATTTCCCTCGCCTTCATCATCTTTCTTACCACCACCGATGCCAGGAAATCACGAATTTGCGATGCGCCCGCCTCCGGCTGGCCGGGGCACGAGAAAGTCTAGTCTTGCAAATGGGGGTTTGAACGGGGCCCAGACTCAGAAGGAGGACGAGGTGCTGTCGCCGGTGGCCTCGGAACCAGTACAAAGGCTGGGTGTATCAGAGGAACTGCATAAGAAGGAGTTAGAGTCATCGTTGGCCACACCGATACCAACGACGGTGTCGTTGCCCTCACCAGCGCCAACGCCCTCGCCCCCACCGCAGCCGGCATTGGACCCCACGACACCAACGCCTACACCTACACCAGCTCCAACACCAGCCCCTCCACCCACAAATATCACCACAACAAACCCCGCATCTATCACGATCCCATCGCCACTACCTTCGCCCTCACCCTCCACCAAGTCACAGAGCACACCACAGACACAATCACCAGCACCGACGCCCAACCGTCGTGCTCCGCCTTCTCCCGCTGCATCGCGGCGCGTCTCCTCCATGTCCACATTCTCGACTCGTTCCCGTACGCCTTCCACGAGTGCTGCCGTATCCCGTGCAGGCTCCACACGACGTCCGGGACGGACAGGCTCCACATCCGTCCCCGCACCGCAAAGTACAAGCACACCCCCACACGCGGCCCCACCCCCCGCACTTCCCCGCGTGCTTATCGTAGTCCGGGACTTTGCCTATGATCGTGATGACGAGCGCTTCCACGGGAAGGGCGCATCCGTCCCCCGTGTGAATCACCTTGCAGTATTGCATCGCAAGCTCGCGGGGCTCCCGGACGAGGATGACGAAGAGGTGGGGGGGGAGGATCTCGATTCCACGGGGGAGGTTGATGCTGCGTGGGATTTGCTCCGACGTGGATGGGGCGGGGGGTTCGGTGCTTCTTCTACAGGCGCGAATGGATGGGGCCATGGGGGCGCGGGGCCCAGCCAGGCTGAGATGGATCTCAACTTTGGTGGTCACGCGGACGATGTGGATGATGACGGGGAGTATGGCGAAGAGGAGGAAGGGGACGGAGAGGAGGAGGAACCGCTGTACCCTGGCCTGTACCGTGCGATGTACGCTTTTGAGCCAGAAGGCACGGCGGAGATGGCGCTCACGGAGGACCAGGTCGTGCGTGTTGTTGGGCGCGGTGGAGGCGTTGGGTGGGCTGTCGTGCTTGTGGATTCTGACGACTCTTCTGCGTCCCCCGAGATCGAGGCGGATGGGAAGAAGCACGCGCTCGTGCCTGAGAGCTATCTGGAGCCTGTCCGGCTGGACTGGGAGGACGAGGAGAGCGCGTAGCGAGTTGGTGGGCCCCTCCCGCTTTGTTCCGTCGTCTTGGTTCTTCTTTCTTTCGGTTTTCTTTCATTGTTTATCCCTCCACAATGTTGTCCATCGCGATCGCCTGCTTGCATGCACACTTATTTACGTACTTAAACACACACATACCTTCCCCCACACATACCGGATCCGTATTCCTTGGTGCTGCGCAATAATTATGTTTTGTTTCTATCATCTCCTTTGTGGCCCAGCACTGCATTGAGTCAAGGAGCAAGTCGCCTCGTTGTAAGAAGTATACTCCTGCTCCCTAAAAATTGTCGATACTGTCTATGTAGCCTATAGAAAGTTACATAGAAGTTTCTGCAGGACCTTATCCTTTTTTTGAAAGAAGAAAAGAAACATATGTTTCTATTGTATTCCCTCTAGCCGACTTGAACGACTGACCTCGTCATACCAATGCAATGACAGTACTAGTGACGCGCTCTACCACTGAGCTAAGAGGGAGTTGTCAACCGTTCGTTAGCAAAAGAGAATGACCCCATGATTCGCGAGTACGAAGATAAAAAAGTGAGAGAACACAACAAGTCCTTTATTCCGGAAGGCTGTTCACTAGCAGAATCGAGCTTATGGCTCAGACTTGCATAAAGGAATCTCAAATTTGAAAATAGACTACGAAAGAAGAGGAAAGAAGGTGTGCGCATGGGTGTGCCACTGTATCCAGCTACACAGGTGCACGCATCTCTTGATGAATTGATATGTTTTAAGATCATATGTGATTGATATGTAAATTCTATGCAATTACAATTTTTTGGCGCAATAAGTTTTCAATAA